TATATATATGTATGTATGTTGAGTGACAGACTGATGTCACCCAAACATTGCATGCATTCTGTGTTCTCCTCAAAGAGTCCTCAGCTGATATTGCTCTCTGCCAATATGCACTCGCAGGTTGCATGCTGAGATGAAAACATGGCTACCATTCATTAGTCCAGGTTTGTTCATCAAATGCCAAAACAAATGATGAGAGCAACGAAAGCCGTTGTTGAAATGCAAAGCTGCAAAGCCCGAGCAGCCTCGGGCCTCCAAATCCTGTTTATTCCATCCTGTCTATAAACTGCGTGTGCATTTGTTTATGTGGAATAATCTGAGGGAGAAAATAACCTGCATTTGCACTTTGCCCTCGAAGTGGAATTATAAATGTGATGACAGCTTGCATGTTGTTGAGATAAACTGCTGCTCAGATAACCCTTTTTGACCTTTACATTTCCTAAGAAAGTTTATAGAAAGATTGATTGGTACTAAGAGAAATCCATGAAAGCTGTTCGTTTGGTTGAAGGATGTATAAGAGTGGAGGTGGAGGGCTGGCCTATGAACCACATCTCTTATCTAACCTTCAAAGAAAAAAAATCTATGTTGAGTTTTGTTATTCTGTGATTCATTCTTTGCTAACAGGCTCTAATTATAATTTATGTCTGTTCCAGAGGTGTGCCTCTGACAATCTAGGGTAAGAAAACTGATGCTTGCAAGAGGATGCTTGCTTCATCTTTCCTAATGTGAAGCATATAGAGATAGCGCAGAATGTGAAAACTGATTATGCCTCCTAAAAATTGTATGATTGACCATTGGTTTTTGTTATTTGATCCAAGGCTAAGAAATCTTAAGGTTATGTATAATCTGTGGATTGTGATGCGTAGTATCTCAACCCGTTCTCATTCCAAAGTCATCAGATACCACTGCTTTGTCAGTGATTTTGGCATCAGACACCTAACGCCAAAATCACATTTTGTGGTGGATCGATATGATGCCGTCACTTTGAAATGCTGCCAGTTAAGATGTAATATAAGAAAGCTGGAAAGTCCATATCGGGATAATACTGCCACTTGGTCATTGATTTCCACGTCAGACACAGGCAAAAAAAAGGCATCCTTTCACAGCAGTATGATACGCCATCAGGCCAAGTCAGCTAATAATACCACCTGACATCATCACTTTGAAACGCCACCATACAAAAATGCATTGGGGTGGTGGATGGGTCCAACAGACCTGGGACTTTCATATGGGAGGTCAGTGTTTGCTTCCTCTATGAATGTAGAGCCAAACCATGATGTTTTTTTCTAAACCTAACCACATGCTTTTGCTGACGTTGGTTGCAGCATCCTGAAACTTCAACAGCAGACTCAGAAGGATGCCTCACACGTAATACTGTATGTAGACATGAAAGGCCACTGACAAAGCGGCGATATGTGATGGCTTTGGATGAGGACATTTTGAGTGTTTACACTATATGCTGCTGCGTTAATGTTCGATCACTGAACCTGAGAAACCTTAAAGTTGAGAAATATCGAAGTCTTCCGTCACCTTTTTTGTGGCAGGAAGTCAGAGTTTGCAACCTGTTAGTCCTCTCTACAATGAATCAGGGATTGAACAATTTTCATTTTTTAAAAGACTGGTTAATTATCCCCATTATTGATATCAGAGATATTAATTTTTAAGTCATAACCATCTCAAAACATGTCACGTACTGATTGTGAAAGTGAAATGGAACTCCTGTCACCAACAACATGGCCTTGAAGGGCTATACTGTAATATGATATTTGGTTTGTATATAGTACGCCACTTCTTGTTAAAGAAATGAATATAGAACCCTAGATGTTTTGCAGATCTAGTTTGTCCTCACATACTGATTTAGATTGTGATGTGTGTGTGTTTTTTTTCCTTCTTTAGAAGTTCTGTGATTGTGTGTGAAATTGAACGCCTCAAGTGTGTCGGCCTTGATGATTTTCAAGAGTAAATATCAAGTAGCTATAATGAAAGTGGAGATGAGGCTTTTATTGTGTTTCAGCATATTAGCTTCCTGGTGGCTCTGGTGTGATTCGTCTTTAAATTCCCTCTGAAAGAACGACACACTTGAGGTCTTGACAACTGAAACCTGAAGCGCTGTATTAAAAGCTTGACTGCATTCCTCATCATCTCTCTCCCCTCTCTCTTTCTAACTTTCTCTCCATCCCCTCTCCCTCATGTTAAACCCTCTCCTCTCTCCTAACTCCTCTTCTCCCCCTCTTCCTCCTGCCTGTTTTGCTTGCGTATCCCCTCTCCCTGTCCTTGCTCCTGCAGATGCCATGGACGGGGGCTCAGGCCTGGGCACCGGCGCCATCGTAGGCATCCTCATTGTTGTCTTCTTCCTGCTGTTGGTGGGCGTGGACGTCACCTGCTACTTCCTCAACAAGTGTGGACTCCTCATGTGCATTGCTGTGAACTTCTGTGGAAAGGCCGGGCCGGGTGCTAAGAGCAAGGACATTGAGGAGGGCAAGGCGGCATTCACGTAAGTGGAAATCACCTTTGCCAGGTTATTACACGTTATTCATGATTTATTGTTTTAAGCTGCACTTATCAAGGTTTTTACAAAAAAGTTTTGATAGAATTAAACTGATGGCCCCACAGGGCATGATCACTGACTCTCTGTTCACAATGAGACAGTGTGGTTTCAAAGGCTGTTAGCATTATAGCTCCTTTTAAACTATTAATTCTTGGATGAACAGTATATTAATGACTATCACGCAAGCAATCAACATACAGAAAGTTAAAGGGGAACACCCCCTAAATTAATCATTTCAATATGTTATTTTCATGACCTAGGAAAGTTAAATCAATGTTTGTGAACATGAGCTACTCTCTGTCAAAGCCAGAAACCAGAGAAGTCTATAAGCTGTGATGTCATAGTGCAAGAAAGTTTCTGGTTCCAACCTGGGGTGAGGGTTTCGAACCTGGGGGTAGGGGAGTCCTTCAGTGTGGAGTTTGCATGTTCTCCCTGTGTAAGCGTGGGCTTCCTCCCACAGTCCAAAGACATGCAGGTTAATTGGTGACTCTAAATTGTCCGTAGGTGTGAATGTGAGTGTGAATGGTTGTCTGTCTCTACATGTCAGCCCTGTGATAGTCTGGCAACCTGTCCAGGGTGAACCCCGCCCCTCGCCCAATGTCAGCTGGGATAGTCCATGAATGAATATGTGAATCTTAAAATACAAGGTTATTGTCTACCGGTGATTCCCCGGGGACCTCCATGTTGCCCTGCCGTCTTCACTAGGAAATGGCGGTGCACCAAGCTTCAGAGAGCCGAAGATGAGAACCGGTGGACGGGTGGACAGGTGTCAGATCTGTGCAGAGCACCAGAAAAAAAAACACATCACGGACAGTATGATAATAACATCCAAAACACACGTTAAACTCTCAGCAGAGAGTGGTTGCTCGTGGTCACTCCCTCACATCTATGTCTGAGCATCTAGTGCAGTCAGGCTCCATCTGATTGGCCACATATATCAACATGCAGCATGTGAATGCATGTCACATGTAAATATACTTTTTATCACAGCTCAAGTCGTCTTTTGCCAACTGGAAAAGTGTTAAAATTCACAGATTGAAATGACATATGTGGACTTAGTTATTTCTCTCAGTGGAGCTGCAGGACGGAGTCCGGAACAAATTTCCCTACGGGGACATTTAATTATATCTCATCTAATCTAATCCATTTTATCTTATCCTACTTCTGAAAACAGCATGCCAGCAAACATTAACAGTAAATTATTCAGAACCGTGTTTTACAGATTACCCCTGTGAACTTCTAATCACGTCACAATTCATTTATTGAATGTTTGCCTTTGTTTGATCAAAAATTCTATTCAGTATAATAAACATTCTCCCACTGTACCAGCTGGGAACTTCACAACAACAAATTATATATTTCAACTAAACAGCTCACATGAAACAGATTTATTGAGGGTGAATGATGACATGCACGGAGCTGATATTTGGCACCTGAGATCTAAACATGTCACTCCCAGCAAGCAAGCCCTTTAAAGCTCGGCACAATCAGAGAGCGGAGTGATGATAACAGATAAACCCCCAGGGGAAAGCTACAATCAGAGCCTGCAGGTGGCTGCAGGTGGAGGATGATCAAATGTTAGAATGAGAGAATAAGAAACAGTGTTTGATGGCTTAAAGGACTATATGGATGCTTTTACATGTTTTAGCCTCAGATTTTGTGAAACATTGCTGCTGATCACCCAAATGTTCCTTTCAGAAGACTCTCCTGTTACTGATCCTGAGTGGGGTAGGACTGACGTTTTACAGAGGCAGACTGGGTCACTGTATGTGGGACACATCAAGTTGCCTGCATGGCCTAGTACAGTAGGACATGCCCTTGTGGAATCTGCTGATTTTAACAGCTACTGCACGACAGTTAGTGGAGTAGTCGTAATAAAACTCCTTCCACTGCAAAAAATACGCCCCAAAGCTCCAGTCTGAAACACCTTGTCTACTATGACCGACAACACAACAACGTGAAGCTCCAGGAAATACACCCCACCAAAAGTGAGCCCTCCTCAGCCGTAGACGTCGGCTGTAGCACTACTCCGGCTCGACAGCCAAAACTGGATTTTAATTGTGGACAGCTGCAGCTACAGAGAAGTAATGAAGCTTGAGGGTGGATATGTGGTGGATGAAATGTTGCTCTTTAAGGCAGAGCCTGGGAAAATACCGGTCACAGGCAACTGAAGACCGCCACATAAAAAAAAACAGCTATCTAGCCTTAGCTACTTTTAGCGATGATCACATTGACATTCCCACAGAGGCACACATCTGAATTTTGGGGAGATATGCAATTACCAGTTTTATTCTTTTATTTTTTTTTACTCGGTATATTACTTTTCTGTACAACAGGCCTCCCTCTAATGTCTAAGCCCCTTTCCCACTGCACAAAAACCCACAAACACCCGCTAACATCTGGCTTTTGTATGTACTGGGAAAGGGTACAATTGGCATTTGCACTTGGGTGGAATGATTCTGCAGTAGTCACAGGTATTTATTGGCTCCAGCTCCAATTGGCAATGATGTGCCACCACAAAATTTAGTCCATCTATGCCCAAGTGGCACTCCAACATTGTTACAAATTAGTCTTCACCGAGCTTGAACAAGAGACTGAATGAGTAAGAGTAACCACCCTAACATTTTACCGGCCTCCATGCTGCTTTCTACTGTTTATTAACCTGTTTTCTGGCCTGTCTGTGACGTCAAACATGACACACCAATAAAAAAAAAATCAACTAAAAAAATAAATAGAAAGGCATGCTCATCTGCTGTAGAGCCGTGTACATGGCTCTAGTCTACTGGCAATGGGAAAGGAGTCAAAGCCTATTTATAGCAGGTTTTCCCGTGTTTGTTTGTGTCACCTTCTCACAACAGGAAAGATGAGTCTAAGGAGCCCATTGTTGAGGTGAGAACAGAGGAAGAACACACCCCAAACCAAGAAGGAGGTGGTCCCACTGAGCCCAACGAGACCACGCCTTTGACAGAACCTGAGTGAGTATGGAACAGGACCACTTCCCTTGTCTAGGGGTGTCCCACACTTAAACCTATCTGCATGGTATCTTGAAAGAGAGGTGGATTAGGAATATAATGCTGGTCAGGCTCAAATTTTGAGAAACAGCGCTGTCATAAGGTCAGCTGTTCACACCAGAGGGTAGTGCTGACACGGTGTAATCCCGTGGATTTAATGCCCCTTTTGCACACTGTCTGGGTGGACATGTGTGGAAACCCATGTTGAACTGCTTATACTGTACAGTAAAAGACTATTAGTCACAGATTTATACCAGCTCAACATTCAACAAGCCCCGGGTCTGCAAGTGTAGGTCTGTATGCATGACCACTAAACCATAACAGCAATATGAGCTTCAAAGTTGTTTTTGCATAGCTCTGGAGCTGAATAAAGAAACAAACAGCACCAATGTTGAGCTCTCACAGATAGTCCTTAGTGGGGCTGCACAGCCACTTAACCCCTTCAGACCCATTAGACCAAAACAAACCCTGCTTTTTCCTTTATTATTAAAAGCATATTAGCATCCTAATCCTGAAACTTCCACATTCTTTCTGTTGTTTATTGTTGTATTATTTTTGTTCACCCCTCCACAAATATTTTGTTGCTAACATTTTGACTGTGTAGATTTTACTTTTTCACTGCAGCACAGTAGCACTCACTCTGCCTTGTTTATGCCCTGACCTGCACTCTCCCTCTGCCCCTTTATTTCTCTTGTTGTTCTTTTTCTTTCTGTCCTTCACTTCTCTGGTGGCTCTACGTGTGTCCACTCCTCACTCCTCCCTCTCCTCCCTTGTTTATCCTGCCCCTCCCCACCAAACAGGCCTGCCGCTGCAGACACCACCTCCACAGTGGTAAACTTGCTCCCCTCCACTGCCACTAACTCAGTTGCTGAGAGCTTTAGCACGGCGCAGAGCAGTCCTGCTAGTGAGAGCACCACGCTAACCACCAGCGCCTCCAGCCCAACCAAAGCTGCCCCTGCCAAGTCCCCTCCCAAAAACAGTTCTGCTGCCCAGTCCAGTTTGCTTAATGCTAACACCCAATCTGATGTTGGGCCCCTGGTCGACCTGAGCGACACCCCTAAAGTTCCCAACCCAGCACCCCCTGTCTCAGAGCCAATCAGCCCACCCTCTGCTAGTGCTGACGGGCCAAAGAGCCAGCGTGACCCAGTCAAAGCCCCTGACAGCACCCTGAGTAAGGACTTACAAGTAGACGGCCCGGCCAAGGAGGCACCCAATGCCCTGTGCACAGACTCGTCCACACCAGCCCAAAATGAGTATGAACACTTCCATACCCCCATTCCTCACCTCACGTCATTTCTGCTCTGGTGGCATCCCAATAGCCCACAAGTGTGCCATTTTTAAAGGAAAATCCCACTCAATACAGACACAGTGGTTGAGGTGACAGATGGCGAGGATCCCAGATCCTAGTTTTACACCTGTCAGGAACAGTCGGCAACTTTTAGGTTGGAAAGCATATTTTCAGGATATTAGGTTGTGTCTAAGTACAGCAGGTCTCACAACAGGTTGGCAGAGGCTAGAAATAGGCATCATGGCAGGGTGTACAATTTCTCCATTAGCATTTACTATTGCGATGGAATTAATCATCAGGGCTTCTAAATGGGTGGTAGGTGGGGAGAGACGGCAGAACGGGTTGCATCTTTCACCAGTTAGGGCTTACGTGGATGACATGACACTGGTGACCACAACAATGCCATGTACAAAGAGGCTACTAGAAAAGGTAAATAAGAACCTAAAGTGGGCCAGCATGAAGATCAAGCCTAGTAAGTCTAGAAGCATCTCAATACATAGAGGGAAGTTAAGTGATATGAAGTTTGTCATAGATGATGAGGAAATCCCAACAATTAGGGAAAAGTCAGTAAAGAGCTTAGGTAGATGGTACAATGTGGAGTTGAATGATGAGGAACAGGTGGTGAAATTTAGAAAAGATGTGGCTGAAGGACTGGATAGAATAGATAAATCAGTACTTCCAGGAAAGTTGAAGTTGTGGTGTTTGCAATGTGGGCTATATCCTAGGTTAATGTGGCCATTGTCAATTTATGAAATTCCAATATCTGTTGTGGAGAGAATTGAAAGGTCGGTTAGCTCCTATATTAGGAAGTGGTTGGGGGCTCCTAGGTGCCTAAGTAGTGTTGCGTTGTATGGAAAAGGAATACTTCAGCTGCCAGTATCTAGTTTAACAGAGGAATTTAAATGTACCAAGGTCAGGACAGAGCTCTTGTTATCTGGGAGTAAGGACGTGGTAGTTAGGAGTGTGGTTCCAAATCCAACCAAGGGGAGGAAGTGGAACCCAAGATCGGCAGTTCAGGAGGCAGAGGCAGCTCTTAGGCATGTAGAGATTGTAGGTAATGTTCAGTTTGGCCGGGGAGGCCTGGGGCTTGGCTCAGGCAAACCTGTATGGAATAAAGCAGGTCTCAAAGATAAAAGAAAGCTGGTTGTGGAACAGATACATAGACAGGAGGAGATATTAAGGGGTGCAAAGGTAGTGGCCCAGGCTAAGCAGGGACAGTGGTTAAATTGGTAAAGTGTAGAGAAGAGGAAGCTTAGTTGGAGGGACCTGTGGAGTATGGAGGAGAATCATATTAGATTCCTGGTAGGGGCTACATACGATGTGTTACCAACCCCCCAGAACCTAAAACTTGGGTAAATGGGGACCCATCATGCCCATTGTGTTCAGGTACCACAACCTTAAAGCATATTTTGTCAGGCTGTAAAGTTAGCTTGTCACAAGGCTGGTATACATGGCGACATAACCAGGTGTTGAAAAGTTTAGCTGCAGGCATCAAAGGGGAACGAAGACGGGTAAATTCAGAAGGTGTTAAGAATAGGAGTTTAGCAATTCAGTTTGTCTGTGAGGGGGAGAAATACAGAAGGGATAAGTTAGTCAGGAGGCAAGGGTGTGGCCGCGTAGAAGGTGCTTGTGATTGGGAAATGCAAGTAGATTTAGGGGGAAAGCTTGTTGTTCCCCAGGAAATAGTTTGTACCAGGCAGAGGCCTGACATAGTGTTGTGGTCAGTGAGTCAACGGATAGTTTATTTCATTGAGCTGACAGTGGAGAGATCCACCAATCAGTCCTCTCAGGAGAAAATCCATGAAGAGGAAGGGTATTTAAGTGTGGGAGTGGCCTATTTGAATCCCTTTTGTTTGAGACCATGCTGCAAGGTGAGTGTGTTTGCTGATCCTGTGAGTTTATCTATCTCCTTTAACTTTAGCTTATATCAGAGTTAAGCTATGAAGCGTGTGAAATAGAGTATGGTGAATGTGCTAGGAAAGGTAGTATCGGCACTGTCTCTACCTGGAGCTCGCATGAACGGAGCCTGGGTTTCTTGAAGGTGGCAGTGCTGTTTGGGCTGAGAAAGCCATGCATAAGTAAGGTAAAGGAGGTTGTTGGGTTGGTGCGGGGAGCAGTGAGACCTGACATTAGGGGAGTGTCTCTGGGACGCCAGAGATCACTGTCTAGCCTCCTGAAGGTGTCGTGGGACCAACTAGACGAAACACTGGTGAAAGGAGGTTCGCACCTGATGACCCCAAAGACATGTTAGGTATCACTGCTCACTGGTCTGTATTTAAGCCTTGCCATAATAGCTTATTCTAGGGCTTAGGAGGTTATTCACTGAATGCTGATCCTTTCTCTAGAGCACAAACTTCTTGTATTTATGTGAAAAAATTTACTTAAGAATTCACAAGCTTTTCATTGTTTTGTGACAGTACTTGGTCATAAATAAGACAAAAGCCCCTTTCACACTGCCGGTTCAAGGTAGGAATATTGCACGGTTATGCCACCTCACAGTTATGTATGTAAGGTTTGAAGGCAGAATGAGGGACAGAGTGGTCTCACCTTTAATGGGAGGTAGTAACAGCGTTGAAACAGTGTCTGTATTAACAGGACATGGGTGGCATGGGTGTGATGTTTTGACGACATATTGTTCATGCAACCCACCATGGGCAATGTAAAAAGCAGCTGATAGCAGTTAGCGGCTAACTCGAAGAAAAACAGCTGCTGAAAATGTTCATATGAAATTTGGGAACTCGTTACCCTCCCAGCACAGGACGAGATCAGCCGGCATGTAACAGAGATCAGCAGTCATGTTATGCCATTGTTATTGTTTATAATGTGCTGCCGATTCATATGTTAGGCTATATGTCAAATGAGATGCCAATGCTGTTGTGTTAAGTGGGATTTATATTTGTGCATAAGCTCTATATCATCACAGAGCCTAGGCCGTAATTACGGTGTTGATTCGACACAGAAGTATAAATCCCACATTAAACGTCAATGCCGTCACGCCTCTTTCGGTTCCCCAATGCTGCCATGTTATTTAAAATTGCAAACTGAAGCAGAATGGTGCCGCCATCCTTTGGTTCTGTGTAAAACTGCAAAGGGGGCATAAAGAAGGGACCTAGTAGTGGCCCTATAATGCAGTCCCTGTATAAAAAGGGCCAAAGTTTGATTAAGGTGCAGTCAAAAAGTTTTGGAAATGGTTAAGGACAAATTGTGCAGCTGAATGACAGAAACAGTAGAATTGACTGGCCTTGCATTCATTTTACACAAAACTGAAAAGCTTACCTGCACACAAAAACAGGTGGCTGAGAGCCTCAAACAATGGTTGATGTTAGGGGGAGAAAAAAAAAAAAGCAAAATGTGTCAATCTCTGAGACTTTAATCAGTGCTTCTAAGCACCGCTGCCTTTCAGTAGATTTTGACGATGTTGCCGATGAAAATATTTTGGCTGTGGGCTTGTACCAGTTTTTAGTTGTATATATTGTAAAAGAAGATCCAGAGGCAAAGATACTGACGTCTCAACCAACAACAGCCTCATTAAACCTGAAAGAAATGCAGCCAGAAATCCTGTTGCATTTTGAAAAGGAAGCATAGTTATGATTTTAGACATGCCTCAGTTTTCAAGGCTGGCTAAGCAAAATTGGGTACACCAAACAAAGTTGTTTGCAACTCAGGCTGAATGGTGGTATTTTTCTTTTAAGAATGCCAGATCTTGGCCATGCAGGTAAATGGCACAGGAATACAATACATTGGGATGCCACCAGTGCGTGCCTGTCTCCATTCACCCACCACCTCCACCTTCCACCTCTTTGTTTGCTCACTCAATGGAGTCAACCTTTCTTCTGCCATGCAGCTTCTTTGTATTTCACCCAAATGATCTCTGTGATGACTCAGCTGCTACATGTGGCTGAAAGATGCATTTCCTTAACACACCTTGTTCACACTCCATGTCTTTCAGCAATGCTTGAATGAGTCCTAGCACCAGCAGTTCATAAATATAAGCAAGAACTCTAATATAGAGAACATTCAAAGCATAAAGGCTGTTATTTTGGTAGTTGCAGTGATCATTCACTGCAGAAAGATCTAATATAGAGAACATTCAGAGCATAAAGGCTGTTATTTTGGTAGTTGCAGTGATCATTCACTGCAGAAAGATCTAATATAGAGAACATTCAAAGCATAAAGGCTGTTATTTTGGTAGCTGCAGTGATCATTTACTGCAGAAAGATTATAGTCACCTAAATTAATCATTAAGATCAGGGAACACTCTGACATTGCTAAAAGAAAAGAAGTCAAACAGGGCAAGAAACAAGAGCAGTCAGATCAACAAACCCCATGGTTAGCCAAACAACAAAAAATGAAGGCCAATTTTGAAAATTCACCCAAACTGCAATCATCCAACAGTATTTACGGACCATTTTCCTGCTTGCTTCCTGCCACTCACGCAGTCTCCCTGTGCAATGAGGGATAATGTCCAACAACATGTGTGCCATCACTTTGGTTTTGAAAATTTTAAAAGACATTTACACAGAGGAACAATGCATCTAATATTCTGTTTATATAGCATTTTTTTCCATGCAGTGGTCAAAGCTGTAGCCTAGCCGAAGAAAAAAACACATTGAAGTTTATCTAATTTTGGTGGCGCGACAAAAGCAGTGAAGAATCATAATGCTGTTTTATTTGTGGATAGAGCCTCTAAATATCTGTTGTATATGAGCAAAAAGAAGAGATATGTCGACTTCTTTGTTACAGATGACCTCAGCCTATGGCGATGGCTCAGGTAATTCAGTACCTAAGACGCAGACTAAGTAATCTGGGAAGCATTAATAAACTCATACTATTATCTCATACAGTAATCTTGTAATGTCTTTAAACATTAACTTGGCATGGATTGATCAAGCTTTAATTCTGACAGGGAAATTTCCAAAGAAACAAAACACACAACTTTTTATCACACAGAAGTGTGGCTCATTT